TATGATGCCAATGTCAAGATGGAATACAATCTTAGGGACATTTTTACTCCACTGTGTCGGGGGACGTCGCTTCAAGTAGACAAGATACTTATTGCTGACGTACCATTCCTTTGTGACCCTTCTACTTTCCCTCTTACGTACGGCAAGTAACGTCATTTTCGTCATAGACGACATGTGGGGATATCCCGATTATAGTCTACGGCAGCCGTTTGGTGATTTCCTATTGTCTTATTTGCTATTCCCCTGCGCTTTCACGTATAGAATATGCTGCTAGCAAATTCGGCAACGTAGCTAAGAAACCCTGTCCACCAACGGAAACCCCGCGATGAGACCGGATTGCCAGGCATTGACTTTAGGTCGCTAGCAGGAACTAGAACGTGCCGTTTCGGAAGACAACTTTGATTCTATCTTTCCGGCCGCCTAAAAACCCTAGCAACATGACCATATAGCTACATCTAAATCCAGGTGAACACAGTAATTGTTACCTTTATCGTGATTTACGTTTCCGGGCCGCATTTCACGTACAATATTAGAATTGTACCAGATCGAGGAAAAACCACGCTGATCCATTTCTGCTCATAGGTCAGAAACCAGATCTTTACGATCTATTCCTGATTCCTATTGTTCTATATCTAGGCTGTTACTTCTATTTACTGTATCTAAAACTCTTAGGAAATTCTCTATCTTCTATTGCTGGAAGATGAATGATCTATGGCTTTTGATCAGGGTTTGTGAAATTAGTGTTAACATTTAATGGGAGACGTTCTTCTCATGCTCATACTTCTATAATTCATGACGTTTCCTTGTTGTAGAAGTGCTGAATTGTGTTTTCAGGTTATTCATGTATTTTTTTACTTATACATAGCCGTATTAAATGCTGGCATTTTGAGGACATGCAGTCCGAGAAAACTACTCGCTGGGAAACTGTTTTTGTTAGCATCACAAAAGCAGGATACAACCAAAAAGTAACCACCCAGTGGAATATCTGGAAGACAGGAAAGGCGGGCCCTTTTATTTAGAATCCTCAATATTTATAGAGATAATTTTATAGCATTCTGTCTGATTTTGTATTGCATTTATAACTGCATATTGCAGTCCGAGTCCGATGAAATGAGCGTATTACACTATCATCCTGAAGGACAGAAGATGGAAGACATTCATCTGGACTGGACAGTAGTCAGAAGTGGAAGCTATGTAAATGACAAGGCTACTACACCATTATCCCACTTCTGACAATATGAAGAGAGAGGGGAGAGTTGGGAATAGATTTTAGTCTGCAGACAATTAGGGACTGTATATTTTGATTGTTTCCATCCCTAGCTGCTGAGGACAGATTCCCGAGGAAGGTCTTAGTGTTTGGGATAGATCCAACGTTCCACCTCATTCTCTGAAACGGATGATCCTCTGGGAAACTCTAGGTGGTAATTGTTTTGTGTTATTTCCCACTGGTCCTCTCACGACGACAGTTTCATGTGACTATCATTTTTATCTTTCATGAATCTACTTAGTTTGAATATTGTATTTCAAAAGTGAATAGATGTTTGGTTCTAACTTTAATTGTAATAAAGGTTTCTATGGTTGATTTACATTTATAGTTCAAGTTTTGTTTTATTTCTAGCTGCGTGTATATTATCAGGTTAGTGCCGTCTACCAATATACCTATTCTAGATAGGGGCTTAATTTAATTAGCAGAAAGGGAAATTGTTGGGAGATGTAATCTGCTCTGTCTAAGTGTTTAGGCATATAAATTGCCTTATCCCTTTTCTGGGGATATTCAGACAGTTCACTTTCTTTGGCGAGCCAATTCCAGTCTGTATCTGGATATCCAGGGACACTGTCTGCTCTTTGCACCAAAAGACAGTTGTAACACCACCTTGGTGAGTATAACAGAAACCTTTTCCACGACACACTGACAAGGCAACATGGAGTCCTGGGGACATATGGTCTCACTGACAAGTTGACACGCAATCCTAGGGGAAACTGATGCAACACTGACAAGACAACATGCAATCATGGGGACATATGGTCCCACTGACAAGTTGACACGCAATCCTAGGGGAAACTGATGCAACACTGACAAGACAACATGCAAACCTATAGAACATATGATCCCGCTGACAAGATGGCCGGCAACCCTAGGTAAATATGATTCCGCTGACAAGATGGCTGGCAACCCTAGGTAAATATGATTCCGCTGACAAGATGGCCGGCAACCCTAGGTAAATATGATTCCGCTGACAAGATAACTTGCAGTCCTAAGGACACATGATTCCGCTGACCAGCCAACAAGACGATCTCGGAAAGCAGAGTCATGGAGGAAGTACAGAACCCAAAAGAAGGCGCCCTTGTTGGGAGGCAGTAAGTGTGATAAATTGTAAAATAGAATACCTGGTGCTTGGATAATAGAGCGGGACAAATGTCGTAACATCGCAGAGTTGAATTGTTCCTTGTAACTGTGTACACTTTCAGAATGTTACAATATAGGACACTCACCAATCTTGTCCCTATGTCTGATGTTTCCAGGGTGGAGACAATTCTCTCCAGACAGCAGCAGGTGTAACAACCGATACACCATATCAGTAAACTCATCTCTACTCCGTGGAAGTACAGCAGGAATAACGTGGCTACACCTGACGCCAAGAACAGTCTACCCAGACCTGCCCGCGACCCTCCCAAAGGGATGTATATGTAATCCTTCTGGAAATTGTGGAAGCCCACATCAATGTGCTTCCAGATATCTGTGAACGAGTATATCCAGGAGAAGCAGCGAGGTCTCGCCAAGGGCTGTATTCCATCTAATCGTGCCAGCTGAATTGGAATTCTGTAAATGACTGCCAGTTTAATCATGATATATTGGCAGTCCCAAAAACCAGCGCTGGCTATAGTCCAGTTTGACAGTCGTAAAGTAGAAGAGTGTGTACTGAGTGCTCTGTGGTACAGAAAATGAGTGTGCAACTCAATAAAGATGGCCCAGAAGGCTAATCGAACCAGTTGTTTGAAAATATCGAAGATATCGGGAGTAAAGTTTTTGGACCGAAATGAATGTCCAACATCTCTGTGGAAGTCTCGGTAAGTAAAAATGGGCCCAAAAAAAAACGTCGGACAATAGAAGGAATATAACAGGAAATCAGCGAACGATGGTTCACGTTCCATTAGACTTGTATCGGTAATCATTTTCAAGCTTTCCAACTTGGGCGCGATTTTGGAGGCCTTGGCTACTCTAGTGGCAGATGTAGGGCCACAATCCGCAGCGCTGTTGTAAATAACGTCTCCAGTAGCCAGTTGTTCTTCTCCATGAGATTGTGAGCTCCTTGTGGATTTGGATACCCCATGTTGCACTTTGTCCACGCCGAAACTGATGAGCCGGACGTAGAAAAAGGCAGAGATGATAGCAAACACATACAGTTCTGTAATCTGGGAAAGTTGTAGGAACTCCACCTGGGAAAGTATGAAACATATTATTATATACATTTGTAGAGCTGTTGTCTGCTGTCCATTTACACAGGGGCAGTTTTGTTGTTTAGAGGTGTCCTGGCTGTCCTGCGGGCACTCACAAGAAACGACAACCCGCTAATTGTGACGTTGAAACAGAAAAAAAAAAAGTAATACAATTTCGAAATATATTAATCCCCAATAAATAATAATAATAATATAACAATAACAATAATAATATTGGCATTTCAAAGTGAGATGTCCTGTTATCAGGTGAAGATAATGCGGTCCCTCTATAGAGGAAAAACCGTTGACTAGAAGTGGTCACTGTAGCCTAGAAACTCGCCTGCGTCTGGAAGGTCTAGGGTTCATCAAGACAAAATGGCCTTAGCTCCCAGGTAGACTGAACCTACAAATGGGCAGCAGGTGATGTCCTGGGAGGAAAGGTCAGTCCCCGTGATGCTGACCACGTCACCCGCCCAGTGTCCACTGGTCTACAGAAATATAGGTCTGGCCGTCTATGGCTGTGAACAAGTGCGATAAGGGTCCAATATTAACCTGTGTTGCACTTCAATGACGGCCATCGTCGCTGTCTTCTTCCTATTATTATTAATGTTATTATTATAGTTGTTATTATTATTGCTACTACTACTAGTTTTATCATTATTTCATTATTTATATATTTTTAAAAATTATATAATTGGCAGTGTGGGTTTATAGGCCTTTTTTTAGGGGAAAATAATAGAGCTATTGGGTATTGTGGGCTAGACCTTTTTTTTTTATAGATCAATCGGCAATCGTGGGTGATGTGGTCAATTTGCCTCCGGTCACTTTTATTTCCCAGGACTTTACCAGGTACCCATGTAAGGCTGAGTCGACCTAGCAGCCGCTAGGTCAGAAGCGGAACCCACATCTATTGGAGGAGAAGGCGCGAGTGTATCACCGCTACACCACGACAGCTCCAGGCACATCCAGGGTGTCAGTCAAAAATTATGGATGTCTTGGTAGTGTCACGGCAATAATGATGGATGTCTGGATAGTGTCACGTCAATAATGATGGATGTCTTAGAAGTGTCGCGTCAATAATGATGGATGTCTCGGTAGTGTCACGTCGATAACGATGGATGTCTTAGAAGTGTCGCGTCAATAATGATGGATGTCTCGGTAGTGTGACGTCGATAACGATGGATGTCTGGGTAGTGTCACGTCAATAAGGACGTATGTCTCGGTAGTGTCACGCCAATAAGGACGTATGTCTCGGTAGTGCCACGTCAATAATTACGGATGACTTGGTAGTGTCACGTCAGTAATGCTGTATGTCTCGGTAGTGTCATGTCAATAATGATGGATGTCTTGGTCGTGTCACGTCAATAATGATGAGTGACTCGGTAGTGTCACTGCAATATTGATGAATGCCTTGGTAGTGTCACGTCAAAAACTAGGAATGTCTCGGTAGTGTCACGTCAATAATGATGGATGTCTGGGTAGTGTCACGTCAATAATGGCGGATATCTTGTTAGTGTCACGTCAATAATGATAAATGTCTTGTTAGTGTCACGTCAATAATGATGGGTGTCTGGGTAGCGTTGTGTCCAGCTTCTACTAGAGATACCTGTCTCGTCTTGGTAGCGTCGTGTTTAGCTTCTATTAGAGATCCCTGTTTTGTCTTAGTAGCGTTGTGTCTAGCTTCTACTAGAGATCTCTGTCTCGTCTTGGTAGCGTCGTGTTTAGCTTCTATTAGAGATCCCTGTTTTGTCTTGGTAGCGTTGTGTCTAGCTTCTACTAGAGATCTCTGTCTCGTCTTGGTAGCGTCGTGTTTAGCTTCTATTAGAGATCCCTGTATCGTCTTAGTAGCGTCGTGTTTAGCTTCTACGAGAGATTCCTGTCTCGTCTTGGTAGTGTCGTGTCTAGCTTCTACTAGAGATCCCTGTCTCGTCTTGGTAGAGTCGTTTTTAGCTTCTATTAGAGATCCCTGTATCGTCCTGGTAGCGTTGTGTCTAGCTTCTACTAGAGATCCCTGTCTCGTCTTGGTAGTGTCGTGTCTAGCTTTTACTAGAGATCCCTGTCTCGTGTGGGTAGTGTTGTGTTTAGCTTGCACTAGAGATCCCTGTCTGGTCTGGGTAGCGTCGTGTTTAGCTTGCACTGGAGATCTCTGTCTGGTCTCGGTAGAGCTGTGCCTAGCTAGACCTTAAATGAGTAGATTTCGTTTCTAGAAATCTTGACACCAGCATACAGTGTGCACGCAAACAACCAACTTGAAAACTAGAACCTTTAAAAAAAAGCACGAAAAAAGAGACAAACAATGAACAACAACAACAACAAAAACAACATAACGTAAAAATTGATAACACACTTAATTTAGAGAAAGCATACAAAGGGGAGTATTTAAAAGGCAACACACGCGCACTCAAAAAAACATCAGCCTCGAGACGCCAAAGTAGCTGTTTAAACAAACAAATAGGGAAATGGGGTGGGGTGTATAAGCACAAATCAACATGTCCGGGGTCCTTCATGATAGCCAAACATGTGATTTTAAAAAGAAAACACGGAACAGAAACATAAACAGATGACAACATCTAAACACCATGTAGCGACGAGAAATAAAGACCAGTATGTGTCACATAGACACACAGATCGCACCTGAACATCCAACAAACCATATTCTTTTCCAGCCGCCAACAAGGCTAGCCCCAGAAACCATACAAGCCAGGTCTTGCCCAGACGGCACGCCGCATACACCAGTAGAGTCGAGCAGACCAGGTAAGCCAGGGGTCGACCTCCGATCAACACGTAAGCCGAGATCAGGTCGACGATGACCAGGCTCCAGGTGTGGACCTGAGGGAATTTCCACAGGAATAATTAGCTACATAACGATATCATCTTTTATGTGTGAATGATATGCTACCGGACTATATCATCTTTTCTGTGTGAATGATTGGATGCCTGATTTTATCATCATTTCTGTGTGAATGATTGGATGCCTGATTTTATCATCATTTCTGTGTGAATGATTGGCTACCGGACTATATCATCTTTTCTGTGTGAATGATTGGCTACCTGACTTTATCATCTTTTCTGTGTGAATGATTGGCTACCTGACTATATCATCTTTTATGTGTGAATGATTGGCTACCTGACTATATCATCTTTTCTGTGTGAATGATTGGCTACCTGACTATATCATCTTTTATGTGTGAATGATTGGCTACCTGACTATGTCATCTTTTCTGTGTGAATTATTGGCTACCTGACTATATCATCTTTTATGTGTGAATGATTGGCTACCTGACTATATCATATTTTCTGTGTGAATGATTGGCTACCTGACTATGTCATCTTTTCTGTGTGAATTATTGGCTACCTGACTATATCATCTTTTCTGTGTGAATGATTGGCTACCTGACTATATCATCTTTTCTGTGTGAATGATTGGCTACCTGACTAAATCATCTTTTCTGTGTGAATGATTGGCTACCTGACTAAATCATCTTTTCTGTTTGAATGATTGGCTACCTGACTATATCATCTTTTCTGTGTGAATGATTGGCTACCTGACTATATCATCTTTTCTGTGTGAATGATTGGCTACCTGACTATATCTTTTTTTTTTTGGGTCAATGATTGAATACCTGACCATATCATCTTTTCTGTGTGAATGATTGGATGCTTGACTTTACCATCTTTTATGTGTGAATGATTGGCTACCGGACTATATCATCTTTTCTATGTGAATGATTGGATACCTAACTATATCATCTTCTCTGTGTGAATTATTGGCTACCTGACTATATAATCTTTTCTGTGGGAATGATTGGATACCTGAATGTATCATCTTTTCTGTGTCAATGATTGGCTACCTGACTTAATCATTCCTGTCTATGAGAATGATTTGCTAACTGACTATATCATCCCTGTATGTGTGAATGATTTGCTGGCTGTGTCATACTTGTCTGTTTGGAAAATTTGCTAGCTGACAGTCCTCTCTGTATAAATGTTTGTATGACCGTCCCTGTCTGTGTGAATAATTGACTGCGTCAAGCCTTGTTTGCAGATATTGCGTCCTTTTCTTACACAGGCTAATGTCGTTGTATGCATGTTATTGCAGGACTGTACTCAAATGAGGAGGTCTTGGTCAGATATGACTGGGCTACCGTGTAACTGTACCTAGTACTACTTGTTTTCTGTAAACGCCGAATTTTGTAACATCCCACATTGTGCCACCAGCTTCTGGTAGAGGGGTAGCATGTAACATCCCACATTGTGCCAACAGCTTCTGGTAGAGGGGTAGCATGTAACATCCCACATTGTGCCAACAGCTTCTGGTAGAGGGGTAGCATGTAACATCCCACATTGTGCCAACAGCTTCTGGTAGAGGGGTAGCATGTAACATCCTACATTGTGCCATCAACTTCTGGCAGAGATGTGCATTTTTCCAGGATTCTAGATGTAACTTTGTTGCTCTGTATCTTCTTTGTTTCAGTTCCCCGAGGCTTACAAAGTGTCAGTGTCTCACCAGTCAAACTGTACCAACAGGAAGGTCAGGATGAAATAGATGTTGTTTATTATGTAATTCAAGAGGTAAAGTCACGGTCAGTTGATTATCGTTTCGAGTTGGTTGCTTACAAGAAATGCTGTTGAATTCCACCATTAAAGCTGTTAAGCTACTAACACAATCAAAGTAGACATTCACACCTATTTACTTGACCACACACCTATTTACTTGACCACACACCTATTTACTCGACCACACACCTTTTTACTTGACCACACACCTATTTACTTGATCACACACCTATTTACTCAACCACACACCTATTTACTCGACCACACACCTATTTACTCGACCACACCTATTTACTTGACCACACACCTATTTACTTGACCACACACCTATTTACTTGACCACACACCTATTTACTCGACCACACACCTGAAGACTTGTTCATGCGTCCGCCGACACGTTTACAGACGTTAACTGTTGGTCATCAGTTGCGTTGTCCAGCTAATCGTTGACACGACAATTCATTCTTTCTCATATCCAGTTCTCCACTTCCCATCACGAAATTTTCTATATTCATTCACTCATTCACGTTGACTCACAATCCTCCTTGACTTTGCAATTGATTCTTTCCTAACTATCCTTCGAACTCTTGACCTCTCCGATTGAGGAACCACGTGTGACGTGAAAGGATTTCACACTCATTATATTAGCCCTATCTTAGAAAGAGGAAATGCAACCTGAAAACTGTAAATTATGCCTGGCCAGACCAGACCCTTAGCCTTGGGGACAGGTGGTCTAGGAAGTAGCTTTAGCAGGCGGAGTGGTAGAGCCCTGCTTTTCTGAACCGGGAACTTCTGCGGCGTTCTTTGTTTCAAACGCAGTGTTGTTATCTTTCCGTTATAGTAAACGAGGCAGGCTGAGAGATGGATCTCAATGCACTAGCACCATATGGTCTCACGCGCGCGGGTTTTGTGCTATGGGGAGGTAAATTCCGTGTTGCGTGGAGGAGACACATCAGAAAGGGAATGAGAATGAAGGGGGAAAAAGAATTGCAAAAAGGAGGAGAGTTAAGCGTCTCAGGAGAAACAAACTACACACAAATGTTGACAACAACGGTCCTGAAATCCCATGCTATAATTCGGGAAGACTTCTTTTAACGCGGGCGGGTCTTGCTAGTCACACTCGCCATCGCCGTGCGCTGTGAGTCCTATACCTGCTTATAGCCTAGTTTAACATTATGTTCTGCCAGAAAGGTGTCAAAAACATCTAAAGATCCAACGCTGGTTGTGTTCGTGTATGACACGTTGACTGTCTGATAACCATCAATTGAATGTGCGAATAGAATTCGCTATATTGAGAGAAAGACTGTTTACATATTTTCTTAATTTCTGAGCTTTTGAACATTCAGCTCGTTAGATCGTTCATTCGTTTACAGACAGGTTGTTCAATAACATTGCAGACTAAACATTTTTCTCACAGATAAAATACCGAATACAGTTTGAGCGAAAGAGAAAGTTACTGATTGAAGGGATTGGCTAAAGTTGAAAGATCAGTTTCTAAAGGTGAGTTGCTTAAGGTGACAGATGAGCTTTTTACTTTGCGCCGCCAAATGTGAAAGGTGTTTTGTTTCTTAAAAAAAAGGTTGGTAAATTAAAGTGAGTTGCTAAAAGTGAAAGGAGAGTTGCTCACGGTGAAAGGTGAGTTGCTTAAGTGAAAGGTAAGTTGCCTAAGATGGAAGGTAAGAGTCTTAAGGTGAAAGATGAGCTACTTGAGCGTAAACGTAGGTTGCTTGAAAGTAAAGACGTTCTGATTTTGATTACTGTAAAAGATTAATGTCAACATACAAACCTTTGGAGTGACTTTGAAGTAAAAACACATCTGAGAAACTATGATATGAGCAGTGACCATCAGAAGACTGTTTGTCGTGAGTCCCCACTTCCAGACGTGCCACTCAGGGTCCGATTGGTCCTACAACACATCATAGATAGGGGTATTCATGGTGGTCACACCAGCCTAGATTATATTTTGCTTGTATTAAGGAACGGATCATGAAACATTATAACCTACACGAGACAGGTTACGCAAACAGAACCTTGATTTGAAACCGAAATAAAATCAAACGCCTACAAATTTTTTCTACGAAGAACAGAATGCTTTTAAAAAATGGTTCGAAGCTGCAAATTAGAAGAACGATTATAGACTTCTTGCAGATCAACTCTTGAAAAGTAAGATGTAAGGTTCCCCCCCCCCCCCCCCCCCCCATTATCTTGGTTGTGGCGCCTGAATGGAGTGCTACCCGGAGTAGCCAGAAATTTCACCCAGGGTACATAACCTCTGTTTAATCAACACAAGACAGTCATTATCAGTTGTGCTGCTGGGAGAGCACCCATGGATCAGCCCAATGTGTTGTGGTGACAGGCCCTGCTAATCATTCATTAGTAATATACCCAAATGGATTTTCAATTGTTTTTACGAACACATTTTTTTATTTTTCCTAACCGGAAATAAAGTTACACTTTAGGGATCACCTGCTCCTAATAAAAATGACTACAGTAACCGGAAAAGAATGAGGTCATAAGAGAAAAAGTCGCCACAGAACCAATTATAAATTACATACGAGACAGCAAGTGAAATGATTTGCCTACTTAGAGAGAATGCCTTGTGACACCATACCATACAAAGCATACATGGAAAGAGAAAAAGGACGTAGAGCACGAGGTAGACCAAGAACAAGATGGAAGGATAACATCAGAGAAACTCTACAACAGCACGATGTGCCTATGGTCGAGGCGGCCAGAAGAGCTAGAAACAGAACCTTATCTCTCCCTCGACACCCACAGCGGTAAAAGTGGAAGTGAAGAAGAAGAGGAACTGAAAAAGAAGCAACATCAGGGGTATTGGTGGTAGTAGTAGTAGTTATAGTTATTGTTGTCGTTGCTGTTGTTGAAAGAAGTGGTAGCCATCGTAGTTGTTTTTTGGTGATGTCCATGTTTTTGATGATGATGCTGCTGGGTTTTCCCCCTGTGGTAGCATTAGCAGTCGTAATTTTAGTAGCAGAATTGTAAGTGGTAGCAATAGTAGTAGAAATATTAAAAGTAGCTTTGGTAGTATTAGCAGAAGCAGTTGTAGTAGCAGAAAGGCGGTGAGTGAGAATTTCTATTGAACCAAACATGTGTAGGTACAACCGTCTGGTTGTTGTCAAGGAAGGATGTTTCATTGCTCTCACTGTCAGACCCACTGTCAGCCTAGACACAACCCATTCACGTCCTGGCCTATAGGGCATGGTTCAAACAATACCGGTCATTACAAGGCGTTGAAAGATATTTTGTGTCTTCAAACTGGGAATTGGCTGGCAGAGCTATTCTCTTGCTCTTTCAAATCAACATTTTAGTCTCTTGTATTCTAGAGGCACCAGCGATATGTGTACGAAGAGCTGAAAGGGCAGCACAACAACCTTGATAAGATGGAGTGATGACAGTCGAAATGTTGCACGCTGACACAGAGGTTGAACTGCTGACAGTCGAGATGTTGCACACTGACACAAAGGTTGGACTGCTGACAGTCGAGATGTTACCCACTGGCACAGAGGTTGGACTGCTGACAGTCAAGATGTTACACACTGACACAGAAGATGGACTTATGACAGTCGAGATGTTACACACTGACACAGAAGAGGGACTGATGACAGTCGAGATGTTACACACGGGCACAGAAGAGGGACTGCTGACAGTCGAGATGTTACTTACGGGCACAGAAGAGGGACTGATGACAGTCGAGATGTTAAACACTGACACAGAAGAGGGACTGATGACAGTCGAGATGTTACACACTGACACAGAAGATGGACTGCTGACAGTCGAGATGTTACACACTGGCACAGAAGAGGGACTGATGACAGTCGAGATGTTACACACTGACACAGAAGATCAACTGATGACAGTCGAGATGTTACACACTGACACACAAGATGGACTGCTGACAGTCGAGATGTTACACACTGGCACAGAAGAGGGACTGATGACAGTCGAGATGTTACACACTGACACAGAAGAGGGACTGATGACAGTCGAGATGTTACACACTGACACAGAAGATGGACTGCTGACAGTCGGGATGTTACACACTGGCAGAGAAGAGGGACTGATGACAGTCGAGATGTTACACACTGACACAGAAGATGGACTGCTGACAGTCGAGATGTTACACACTGGCACAGAAGAGGGACTGATGACAGTCGAGATGTTACACACTGACACAGAAGATGGACTGCTGACAGTCGAGATGTTACACACTGGCACAGAAGAGGGACTGATGACAGTCGAGATGTTACACACTGACACAGAAGATCAACTGATGACAGTCGAGATGTTACACACTGGCACAGAAGATGGACTGCTGACAGTCGAGATGTTACACACTGACACAGAAGAGGGACTGATGACAGTCGAGATGTTACACACTGACACAGAAGATCAACTGATGACAGTCGAGATGTTACACACTGACACAGAAGATGGACTGATGACAGTCGAGATGTTACATATTGACACAGAAGATGGACTGATGACAGTCGAGATGTTACACACTGACACAGAAGATGGACTGCTGACAGTCGAGATGTTGCACACTGACACAGAAGATGGACCTATGATAGTCGAGATGTTACACACTGACACAAAATATGGGCTGATGACAGTTGAGATGTAACACACTGACACAGAAGATGGACTGCTGACAGTCGAGATGTTACACACTGGCACAGAAGATGGACTGATGACAGTCAAGATGTTACACACTGACACAGAAGATGGACTGATGACAGTCGTGATGTAACACACTGACACAGAAGATCAATTGCTGACAGTCGAGACGTAACACACTGACACAGAATATGGACTGATGACAGTCGAGATGTAACGACGATTGTCAGTATCACATTCGGGCGCTACACTGATTTTTTTTTCGCGACCCTTAACGACAGCTGTGGAAGATGCAGATGATGTTACTGATGATGTTGTTGATGTTGCTGATGATGTTGATGATGTTGTCGATGATGTTGTTGATGATGTTGTTGATGATGTTGTTGATGATGTTGTTGATGATGTTGTTGATGATGGTGATGATCATTACGATGATGCTGATTTCACAGGTTGGGATCTGGCTGTAGCTGTTTCTTACCTGGTATCTGCCAAACCATCTCCTCTCAGGTGACAGTTCATCACTCAAGTACATCTGATATCCTAGTCAAGGTCAGACATTGAACAAATATTCAGTGCACACACAAAAAATGAATCGACCAAGCTAAATAAGGTGATTACACAAAACACAAGACTCAGTTGCCTCTAGAAGACATAGCTAACCTGGTTACATACAACAAAAGACTCCCAGTTGTCTCTAGACATTTTAGTAACATTGTTACATACAACACAAGACACCCAGTTGTCTCCAGACACATTAGTGTATTTGTTACAAACAACACACGACACCCCAGTTGTCTCTAGTCATTTTAGTTAAATTGTTACATACAACATAAGATACCCAGTTGTCTCTAGACATTTTTGTTGAATTGTTGAATACAACACAAGACACCCAGTTGTCACCAGACATGTTAGCTACCTTGTTACATACCACACAAGACACCCAGTTGTCACCAGACATGTTAGCTACCACACAAGAACACCCAGT